TTCTATTTCCCCCCCCCCCCATTAAAAAAATTTTTTTTAAAAAGGAAAAAGAAAAAAAAATTATATATATAGATTAAGATTAATATATAGATTAAGTGTCGAGAACCAAATTTTTTCAGAAAAAGGTATGTTTATTAAAATATTTTGTGTCTAACTTCGTTACTTAAAATATCTTCTGTACAAATTAATTATTTTTTTTTCAATTTTATTTTATAACCGTCGTTGAACAGCCGACCCAATTTTTGGGTCTACGATTACTAATGAACCCCAACCAGAAGACAAGGGAACTCCTGGATCCAGTACTGGGAAAAATTTGCCTTCGTGATGGACTTTTTGATGGAACTAACCCTCATTTGCGTTACATGGAGAGGAATACCACGAGATCCTCCCACGTTTAGCCTGACAGCAAGGGGACTCTAACCCAGGATCCGTCCACCACTAAGGATATTTCATGTCATCACTGTGGTTGGTGCGAGCCGGGTGAAGAATTCGTATCGACCAGCCATTGCTGGGATTCGAACCCGGTTCACCAACATTAATTAGTATGTATAAAGTTAGGACCTCGAACATTAAGATTAAGCTCTAATGCATGAAGTTAGATAAAAAAAATCTTTTCAGTCATCAATCTGTTTGCCCTACGGTTTTTTTCTTTCTTTTTCTTGCGCACTGAACATAATTGGATATTGTTCGAATAAAGTAATTAAGAAACAGTTCCAATATATACGTCTGACCATTCAGCAGAGTTAGAAGGTATGAAACAATACTCACAGAATTAAACTGAAAAAATTAGTTAATAAAGGGTATTATACCCTCTTAGAGGTACGAATGTCTTATAACGTTATTCCAAATAGGAAATAAAATATTTTAGAAGTTCCAATTGTTTCCACTTTTAAACGACACTTTTTTTTTACTCTGAAATTGTGGTGGTTTTCGGTGGGGGGTCATACCCTCTTTTAACTAATAGTTTATTGACTGAATGAGAAAGGCACTTTTACTGGTTTGAAGTATTGGGATAAAGTCATGGAGTCCTAATTTCATTTCTCAGTTTTGGAGTGGGGCCAGCCAGGTCTCCAGATCTCAAACCTATAGAGTATATCTGAGACGCTCTGGGAAGAACAATTGGAACTCGATTGGAATTGCCTTATGATAAATTATGATATTGTATATAATATATAATATCATATATAATATCATATATAATAAGATATTATGTAATATATATAATATCATATTATGATAAATGATGAATGATGCCTAATGATAAATTATGATAGGCCTGAGCGGACTATCATAAGTGTCCCACATTTTTGGGGGCCCCTAAATTATACAAATAATTCCTTTTTGGATTTGTCCTTAAAAACTATCTATTAGAGTTATAAATTAACAAAAATTGAAATAAATATAAACTCAAATTTACAAGTATTTTGTAATTTACTTGTGTTACAAATAATTTTTTTAAAAAACTCGCTACTTAAACAACATGTAAATTTAGTTTATAATTAAGATGAGGGGGGCCCTGCCAGCTTTGTACCTAGAGCCCCCGCAACTCTAGATCAGGCCCTGCCCCTCACAAACAGACTCAGGAAAAAAAATTCAGTAAAACATCGTCAAAAAATTGTCTTTTTCTGCTAATTTCCAATACATAATAGTAGTAAATTTAGATTTTTACTTGCAAGAATAAACTCTAACTTTAGATGAAGCTAAAGCACTGTATCGAACAGCTCCACAATGACATCCTCCAAAGTGTTTAATTTTCTTGTCCTCCATAGTAGTTATCTAAAAAAGAAAATAAGATTTTTAACAGCTGTTTATTGCTATCATAATATTATAATATATTTTATAATATTATGATATCATATATTAGAATATTATAAAATATCTATCATAATATTATAATATAGCTATCATAATATTAAAAACAAAACATGATCCTTTTAAAGGGGGGTGTATGCCATTCTTTATTTCTACATAGTGGTAGTCGGAAATCATTATTCAAAGTAGATCCAATATACACTGGTAGACGAAATTAAGACAACATCAGAATTGGACACAGCTAATGTTCTCTTCACCGATGAGTCCAGATTCAGTCTACAACCTGATTCTGAACGGTTATTGATATGGAAGGAACCTGGAACCCGATACCATCCCAGCAACATTATTGAAAGGGACCATTATACTGGTGAAGGACTCATGGTTTGGGCAGGGATCATGCAAGATACCCGCGCACCGCTCCATGTGTTTGACAATGGTTCCGTGAATGCCCAGATGTACAGGCAGGAGGTCCTAGAGCCCTACGTGCGTCTTTTTAGGGGCTCTGTTGGCCCTGAGTTCATTTTTACGGACGACAATGCGCGACCACATAAGGCTCTCATGGTTGATGAGTAACTGGAAAGAGAGGATATTCAACGAATGGATTGGCCAGCCAAATCACCTGACCTAAATCCTATTGAACATGCTTGGGATGCTCTTGGGAGAGACATTGCGATACGCCAACCTCCCCCCAGAACCATTCTGGAGTTAAAAATTGCTCTGGTGGAAGAATGGGAGGGTCTTCCACAAGTCCTCATTAACTCCCTTATTAACAGCATGCATACTCGTTGTGCATGCTGTCTGTCTGTCAGGGGTGACCATATACAATACTAGAGGCAACCCACACAGCACAAGCCTCACTTTTATTGTCATCTTTTATCCTTGAGTTCAGACTACATTGGATTTATTGGCAATATGTCTTGTAAGTGAATGGCACTTTCTTTTTTGTTTTGCATACTTTATTATCATGGAATAAGCTATATCCATACCAAATTTCATTTACTTATATTCAGTATTTTTTGAGGTATTTGGGAAAATGTCTTCCATCTCTTAATTTTGTCCACCAGTGTAATTTGACAAAATATTATAAAAAATATTGCCACGTTATTTTTCGAATGAAATGAGGATTGGCTCATTAGACTAGGTAAGGGGTTTTCCTAATATAATAGGCTCATATTGTGTGTATGGATCACATAGTAGGATATTTATATATATATATATATATATACCACCAAACAGTTACTCCGAATAATAGACTATACTGGCAGAGCAATCATAAATAAAGAAACAATAGCCTTCCTGATGATCGACATATCCAAAGCATTTGATAAAGTATGGCACACTGGTACAATATATAAACTCATACAGCTGAATTTTCCACCCGGCATAATCAAACTCCTATCCTGCTATCTTTCTAATAGAACATTTCAAATCACCATCAAAAACAAAAAATCCACAAAGAGAAACATCACAGCCGGAGTACCACAGGGCAGCATTCTGGGACCGATATTATACATATTATACACTTATGATTTTCCTATAAACAAAGCCGATTATAACAGCATAACAGCCTATTACGCAGACGATACCGGTATTATTATTAAATCCAGAAACCCAAATCATGCTCTTCAAAAACTACAAGACCATATAGACGAAATAGAAGACTGGTGCTTAAAATGGAAAACTGCAGTAAATGCTGGAAAATCACAAATATTAATTATACAAAAAAGAAGAATTAAAATACTTCCACAACTTCAACCAAAAATGTTCAACATACCAATACCAATAGTTAAAAAAGCAAATTATCTTGGCCTTATAATCAATAGCAAACTCACCTGGAATGATCACATCAAAAGCACAATATTAATCCAAAA